GATAGATAGATAGATAGATAGATAGATAGATAGATAGATAGATAGATAGATAGATAGATAGATAGATAGATAGATAGATAGATAGATAGATTGATTGATTACACATTCGCAGCATTTGGCCAGATTGTATTTTAGTCACTTGCTCTGCACATCTGTGTCTCATTTTTTTTTCCTGCAGCAACTAAAGCTGATGGATTTGCACTTTACTTCTTGGGAGAATGCAACAATGTGAGTGCTGACTTCTTCTGTTTTTTTTACTGATGCATCTCTGTGTATATGTTCCTTTTTTCTCCAGTTGTGCTTCACTTCCTGTTCTTGTCTGTTCTTCTCAACAGAGTTTATGTTTATTCACTCCAACGGCGGCCAAGGATGGGCCTCCATCCCTCATCCCCTCTGGCCCCATCGCATTTGGGACAACCATTGCCGCTCATGTTGCCAAGACTCGCAAAACACTGCTAGTAGAGGACGTCATGGGGGTATGTGTGGCTGTCATCCATCAACAGTGTAACATTTCAGTGCATCTAGTGTTTGACTACTTTATGTAGCTATAAACATATAATGAAATAATTCTTTCTTATTGGTCTCATTGGGTTAATGTGCTCAACACTGTCAAACTAAAGATATTAAAAAATAATCATAATAGGAGTAAATATATGAAACAAAAGGTAAATTAGTCAATACTAATTAATGAATTAATATTTTGTTAAGTGATCAAATATATTAAATTTATTGTAGGCATTCTTTAAGTAATTATTATGATTTATTTGGATGTTGCTGTTGTGTGAATGTACTTTTGCATTAATTCTCCTTTTTTAATATGTTTAATTAGTCTAGCGCAATTTTTGTAAATGTTTCTTTTGTGTTGCCTCAGTTTATTTTCCCTCATTTGTCGTCATTTTCTTTTCTCATTTCCTTCAATATTTCTGCTTCATTAGGCAAATGATGAGTATTTATGTATTGGGCCTTTTAGTTTGTTATCCAGTTATGCTTTTGCCAGTATTTTCATTTAGTTACACATAATAAATTATCCCTCTTTTGATTTACACTTCACACTTTGAACGGGAGCAGATTTCAAAGGAGGTATAAGAAGAAGCTTCAGAATTCAGGGAAATATCAGCACAGGCACACTGTAGTGGAAACTCTTCAAGTTTAAAAGTCAAAACAAATCAGGTTCAGCTTTAAAGAAGCCTTAACTTTATTATAAGGTGTGTGTGTGTGTGTGTGTGTGTGTGTGTGTGTGTGTGTGTGTGTGTGTGTGTGTGTGTGTGTGTGTGTGTGTGTCAAAGTGAATGTGTGTCAAAGTGAAATTTTTAAGAAAACAAGCGCATGAGACACATGTGGCGTACTTTTCATAGCAACAGATTTAGAAACAGGAGTTTCTTTGTAATCTTCATCAGTTAATACGCCCTGTGCAGTTCAGGTGATAATGTTCTTCGCTGGTCTTTGTGTTGCAGGACGAGAGATTCCCCGACGGCACAGGGCAGGACTCAGGGATCCATGTTCACTCTGTCCTGTGCCTCCCCATCGTCACTGCCATCGGGGACCTCATTGCCATCGTGGAGCTTCACCGGCACTGGGGCAAGGAGCCCTTCAACCTCAGCCACCAGGAGGTCAGTCTGACCCAGACAAAACACACCAAGAGTGGGAGGCTGAAGCAAGGCTCACAGAACTACAGTTAGCCTGGTATTACCCTTAATCTGGATCTGTTTGAGATCTCTGTTAGCTTTGTGGGCTTCATTTTTATTGTCAAAAATATATAAAGGGGTATATTTGTCTCCAGATGAAAGTCTTTCTGTGAACAACAGTGCATTGAGCTGGAAAATGGCTTTACATATAGAGAATGTTGAAGCAGGTGTAGGCAGGGTGTATAAGCTTTAAAGATCAAATTTAAAATGCAGAGCATTTAAAATGCTCTTTTCATTTCTCGTCATCGTGTAGATATAATCGATATGTGAACAGCTTGTAAAAGTCAGCATAGTTTAAACCTGCATCAGTTTGTTTTTATATACTTTAAAGGGGCTCAACAGGTAGCTATTTGCTTATTACACATTAATAACGCTCTTTTTTTGGCATTTTTTAATTTTTAATTGTTTTATTGTGTTTAGTGGTTTGCCATATTGAATTAATGTACAGTGCAAACTACTGCAAAACACTGAAGGTGCAAGTCAAAACCTCATAATAATGAGCTGAACGCTGACATGCTTTTTAAACCTGCAAAGTCCTGCTGTTATTTTCAGGAGTTGTTGTCCTCTTTTTAATCACATGTGGACAGTGAAGGTCTTTTCCGTAACTTGTCTTGCAGCTTTTATTTTTCATTTCATTGCTTAAATGCAAATATACAATAGAGATGCAGCAGGTTTGAGCCTGAGTTCCCAGAGTTGCGCTGAGTTTGTGGGGTAACTAGCTCTTCTGTGATTGTGAGACTGCCTGATGTGCAGAACAGATAATTACGTTGAGATTGTGTCGTAGTGAGAAAATGTGATAAACACAGATTAAACCTGCACGGTGTGACTTAATGTGTAAATTGCAATAGTATTTGTACTGCAGTTCTTTGGAGCTAAGCCTTGCTTTCTTTTCCAGGTTGCTACAGCTAATTTAGCATGGGCATCAGTTGCTATTCATCAAGTGCAGGTGAGCAAACCTCTGGAGAAGCAGAACTGAAAACTGAGTGTGTAACAGATACAGTATACAGTAACTCACTGAAGACTTGTCAAGGGAAAAGGCGAATCCTACCTGCTCCACTTATTACTGTATGTTCTCGAATGATTTTGTTTGTTCTGGTTCTGCACCTGTGTTTTTAATGGTTAAATCCACCGTGTACAAGAACTGAGTTGTCACCGACACCAGTCCAATCAACTGAGCCGTAGTTTCAACAAATAGCTCCCCAGGGACGTCATTATGCCCCAGTCCTGTTTTTATATGAACAGATAGCATAACACCTCAGAGAAGCAGCGTCCCACTGCAGCTCTGGCCACAATGGACCTCTGAGCCTGTGTGAGCAGTGCAGCCCTGCACTCCTGGGTTAGCTGCTCTCTATTCTCTGGGAAATTTTTGATACGTTTGTGTACTCACTCGTGACGTCTTTTTCCTTGTTGCTAGGTGTGCAGAGGCCTCGCCAAACAGACTGAGCTCAACGACTTCCTACTAGACGTGTCAAAGTAAGAGCTGCTCCTGTTACAGTTTCCCTAACACCAAATAACTGATACACAAAGTGAATATTGTTTGGTCTAATAAGTATCTTGTCCTCACAGCACGGCTGTGATAACATAAAACTTGTAGCCCACACGATAAAAGAGATTACTACATTTTAGGCAACCTAGCTTTCATGTCTTGAATGTGAACGTCATCAGAGCTTCCCATTTGTCAAACATCTCAATGCGCCATTTCTTCTTTTCGCACAGAACATACTTTGATAACATTGTGGCAATAGATTCTCTACTTGAACATATTATGGTGAGTGTGATTTCTGCAAGTACGTGTTCATTCACATTGTCCTCAAGGCTACACATCCTGGGAGTGTGTGTTAAATCATGTCTGTTAAAAAGACTAGCAATGCCGCAGTAACACAGATTCACTCCTATTACTTTCTAAAAATAATAGCGTGCTCATAATGATTATTCTTAACTAATTAAGTGGTTACATTAGTTTTAGATACATAGTAATACTAAATAAATGTATTGACTTGGCTCAGTCCAAATCGATACGGTACTTTGTACATCTAAAACAGGCAAGTGTAAAATGTGGTTTTCCTGCTTCTTTTACTAAAACCTGCTTCTTTTTTTGTATGTTTTTGGTTGCCTTGTGACTGTGGTCTTAACTCAAGTCATCTGGTTCGAGCACTAAAATAAGAGGGGATGACTTGTAGTTTTTGCTTTTTTATAATTCTCCTCATTTAACTGTTCAGTCCCGAATCACTTAAACCAGCAGTGTTTTATCTGCTTTGATGTAACTCCCAAGTTCTTGTCAGTCCCCAGTGTTGTTAATAAGATTCTGTCCCTGATGTTTTTTTGTTTTTTACAGATATATGCAAAAAACCTGGTGAATGCAGACAGGTGTGCACTCTTCCAGGTAGATCACAATAACAAAGAACTATACTCTGACCTGTTCGACATTGGGGAAGAGAAAGAAGGCAAACCTGTCTTTAGGAAAACCAAAGAAATTAGGTATGTACACTTTTTTTTTTTTTTTTTTTTGCTTTAGTGTGCTCAGTGTGATGATTTTATTATTTTTAGACATGACTCACTTTTTGATCCTATGTTCAGAGTGCACCGTTTAAAATATTCTACTGGTCTCCTGTGACAAAATCTGCTAAAGTAATAAAAAGTATATGCAGTAGAGAAATAGCAATGGCATAGTAGAGTATTATTTTGCAGCATCTAAGCTGCTAAATTGAAAAAAATAAATAAAGAAGAAACATTAATTACATAAATGAGTTTATATTCTGTTAAAAGCAGAATTGTTTGAATTTTCATCTTTAAGTTTTAAACTTCATATACCTGTATTTATTCATATAGCTTATTTTTTCATTTGTATGTATACATGCATGTATTTGTTTGCATATTTTTTTTTCCAATTTATTTTTTTCATTTTTAAATAACATTTTTATATCTGTATCTTTTTACAATTCATAATACTTGTCTTATTTAAATTTTCATTTATTTTAACATTTATTTTAATAAATAAAACAGTAAATAGGAAAAGAAATTAGTAAATAAATACACAGTGAAATCACATAAAAAAATTAAAGCTATTTTAATTATTTTTGGCATGTTCAGTAACACATTGTGCATCACTGCCACAGATTTTTTGCTGTTCTCAAATCTGCAATGGTTTACAATTTGGACTGCAAATGTCCTAAATTAATTTCCATATTGGTGATTTATTACTGAGTTTAAATGCAGATTATCTCTCTCCTTGTTTTTGTTTGTAGGTTTTCTATAGACAAGGGAATAGCTGGCCAAGTGGCTCGGACAGGGGAAGTCTTAAATATCCCAGATGCCTATGCAGACCCACGGTTCAACAGGTAAAACAGGCTCTAAGCCATTTTTACTTACTTTTACATTAAATAAATATCTTAAATAATGCTACTGAAGAGTTCTGCTTCAGTTACTTTTGCTTATTCAGTTGTATGCATAACACCGGCGCTAAGATACTACTACTTTTAATGGAGCCTTTCAGTATGCAAAAGCAGTTAAAACACAAACATGCTACAATGTATGAGTCACAAGATAAGCTGACAAAATCAACATAACTATGTCTTTTTGAACAGAGAGGTGGACTTGAAAACTGGCTACACCACGCGGAACATTCTGTGCATGCCCATTGTGAGCAGGGGGACTGTTATAGGTGTGGTGCAGATGGTGAACAAGTTAAGCGGAAGTGCCTTCACTAAAACAGATGAGAACAACTTTAAGATGTTTGCTGTCTTTTGTGCTCTGGCCTTACACTGTGCAAATGTGAGTACACCAAATTAGTCTTACACTTCTTAAAAGACTAACTAGTGTTGTCTAACTGCAAATGCATACCCCACTGACTTGATATCTTCCTGCACACACTTTGCAATCTACATACATTATAAGAACATTGTATATATGGCGTACCTCCAGGCCACGAGTGCTCAATTTTAACCATCTTATTTTGACATAACTCCAACTTTGACGTGGCGGCTTCATCGGCAACCAAAAATCACAGTCAAACGAATAAAGTGCAGTTTCTATTTAAAGTGTGCAGTGCTGTAAAAATGCATAATCACCGGGTGATTATCCCTTACATGTAACACAAACATTTCATGAATCATGCTAACTCTCAAAGCCTGCATTGTGTGGCCTGTCTGTCAGAGCGTGTCCTCGCTGTGGGGCCTGACTCACTGTCATCGCTTGCGACAAACTTACGCATGAGCAGCGTCACAAACTTGCTTTTAAAATTGATGCGAGATATTAATATTTTAAGATGCGAGGTCTGCATCCGTCCAGTGACAGGATTTGTGTTTAGTTGTCATTTATGCCTCGTGTCTCTGGGAAGCTAACTTTGGCTTGCTTCTGACTCAAAGTGATTTACGGGTGAAGGTGTGATGCCTGGGGCCTTTACATGAACATCTAGCTTGAGGACAGGGATGCAAACCAGATGTGGAAATGCTATTTGGAGGCGTACACTACGACTACAACTTTAACTTTCACCGGAGAGACTGATAGAATTTTACATTGATATTATAAACAACATTTCTGTGGTATGTATAGCAGTGTTCAAGTTCTCACTTGACATTTTAAAGACTTATTCCAGGTCTGTGATTTCCCTGCAGATGTACCACAGGATCCGACACTCTGAATGCATTTACAGAGTGACGATGGAGAAACTGTCTTATCACAGCATCTGCACATCAGAAGAATGGAAGACCCTCACCCAGCTCAACCTCCCTGCACCTATTTATAAAGAGATTGAAATGTGAGTGCCTCCTCTGGCGGCCTTCTAGGGAACTCGTGTTTTGACCTTGAGTGTAGTAGACATGAGTGTACAGCCACATGTCTGTGAAAGGCACAATGACACAGCGCAGACCTGGACTGTGTCGCCCTGCAAGAAGAGTGCAAACACAAACACAGTGCAGGAAGGACCGTGTCCTATAGATGTCAACCTGTCAGTTTAAAACTCTCAGCTCTCAGAAGTCCCTTAATCTGCATGTTGTCTCCTTTTCCCAGATCTGCTGATCATGTTAATTTAAACCTTTTGCTCCCTCCTCCAGGTTCCACTTTGACATCAGTCCCTTTGAGGAGATCTGGCCTGCCATTTTTATCTACATGGTTCATAACTCCTGTGGAAAGACCAGGTAGCGTCAGCAATATTGTTTACACAAGACTACGACTCAAACAACAAGAAACTAAATGGAATAAATAGTAAATAAACAAACATCCACTACCAATTTCTTTCCCTTTTTTCCCCTTAATACAGCTTTGAGCTGGAGAAGCTGTGCCGGTTCACCATGTCCGTAAAGAAGAACTACCGCCGTGTGCCCTACCACAACTGGAAGCACGCAGTGACGGTGGCACACTGTATGTACGCCATCCTACAGAAAACCTCTGGGATCTTCACAGAGCTAGAGGTTTGCTTCTTGTTGGGTCTGCTAGGAAAATAACTGGAAACAAGATCAACATCTGCTGTCACTGTGTGCTTTCAAGAAAATGTGTTTTTATTTGCCCACCATTTTACAGAAGAAGGGTTTGCTAATAGCCTGTCTTTGCCATGATCTGGACCATCGGGGGTATAGCAATGCCTACCTCCAGAAGTTTGACCATCCACTGGCTGCTCTGTACTCAACCTCCACCATGGAGCAGCACCACTTCTCTCAGACTGTTTCTATCTTGCAGGTAGAGATCCACAATACAGAATTTAGGGTACCTTGAAAATCAACATGTTAACCCTACTTAATCTTATTTCCACAAGTGTTTAATAGGAAATAAAGAACCTATTACTCAATGGCTCAGTCACACTAGAGTAAAAATATGAAAGCACCTCGCAGTGACTAGGAAAAAAGATCAGTGGTTGCCAAGTTATTGCAACGAATTTGTTTCAAATTCTGCAACCAGTTTCAAAGGTAATTACACAGCTTGAGTGTAACTACGATTACACTCTTATCCTCTGGGCAACTATGTTTGATCACAAGGTGAGTGCACACGTTGCCTGGTGGGAGGCAAACAACTGCGCTCCATTTTGGACTGACTGCAAACAATAATTGCCTCCTAATTTATTAATGTGGACAAATTGCCAACACGCTGCAATAAATTGGAGTCAGTATGCGCCAATAACTTGTCTGTGACACATCTGTGGACTCAACCGGTCCAGATGACAGCTAATAGCCAAATTATCCCAAACAGATTGTATGAGATCGCCACCGTGATTCCATTCATAAGACAGCAGAATGACAGCAGACTGACTCCGTCTTATTCCCGTTTTATCGACTTCTTGATGGATACGAGTCACTTTGAAGATGGCTACTGACTGCGAGATTTAGTGTCTGTCTTCGAGGCAGGTCAAAGGGAACAAGAGTTCATTGCACGTGGTTACAATAATTTGGGTTAGTGCTACGGTTTACAGGCACCATTTCCCCTAGTGTGACTGTAGCCTAAATAGTATACTTCACTGGACAAAGAAATGAAAATAACTTGATCAGCAAAACAGAAAAAGGATCACAATTTAAAAAATACCCATAAAAAATGTTCCATCTGGTTCTGCAACAATGTCATCAGCTTAGAACAAACAAAAAATATTTTACTATATTAGATAACGAATCCTTATACGAACTGTCAGTTACATATGCATTCAAAGGATCATATGACTTAGTTCTGATTAGCGCCTTACAAGGTGTCTTTTGTAACATGCAGGATCTGCTAGTTTGGGCTGTAGCCCTGTGATGAACTTATGTTTGCAAGATGTTGTAGTCTAGCTGAATGCCTCATAAGTGGAGCTTTTGCTTTTTTATTGATCTCTTTGTTTCTCATAGCTGGAAGGGCACAATATTTTCTCCAACCTGACTTCCAGCGAGTACGAGCAGGTGCTGGAGATCATTCGAAAGGCCATCATCGCCACAGACCTCGCCCTCTACTTCAACAACCACCAGCAGCTGTCGGAGATGCTGACCTCATGTGCGCTGGATTTGAACAACCATTCCCACAGGTCAGGCTACGACTCACACTGGGGCACAGGTCAGGTCAGGACCACACCAGGTCTCATCAGTATCACGCTGTGAAATGTTAGACCTGGCGCACATAAACAGCACATTGAGTCCTTCCCCCCCGCATGGATATAACAAGGCTTTGCTCCCCTCCAGGGACCGTGTGATTGGTCTGATGATGACAGCATGTGACCTGTGTTCTGTTACCAAGCAGTGGCAAATCACACGACTCACAGCCAACGACATCTATGCTGAGTTTTGGGCTGAGGTACAGTGGGATACTGTTAGTCTTTAAACAGTTTCAGTGTCATGATTATGCCTCCAGTGTAACAGTCTGGCCTCTATTATTGCTCATAAATGCTGCTTCAACTTACAATTTGTAAGGCACAACATCGTGTTGTCTAGTGGTCAGGAGACTTAACCACAGTGTGCAAAAATAAAAGCCACGTTATCTTGTTATTTTGTTACTCCACAGGGAGATGAGATGAAGAAGATTGGGATCCAGCCGATCCCTATGATGGACAGAGACAAGAAGGACGAGGTTCCCCAAGGCCAAGTAAGAGCAAGACATTTACTCGTGTGTTTTAACTGCTTTAAATATTTAATGAATGTTCGGCCTTCTGATGGGAAATATATTTTAAAAGAACAGCATAGGAACTGTTGAATCAATGCTTTTGTAGTTTTGCTTCTGTACACCACAGCAGTGGATTTTTAATAAGTTAATAACATCTAACAAGATTAACACTCTCAAGTCTACAATCAAGAGATTCCCAAGATGAACTTGCACCAGAATGATGGGAACAGAAAATATGCGGAAGGAAAGAAATCTCATGATCCAAAGCAGACCTAATCTTCAGTTAAACACAGTATAGAATATGTCACAGCATGGGTGTGTATGGCTCTGAGTGGAACCAGGTTGCGACTGTTTATTGATGATGTGACTGCTGATAGAAAAAGCAGGATGAATTGTGAAGTGTACGAGGCTATACTTTCTAGCACTTCACTGTGCAAATGACTAATGACCTCAGGATTACTGCAAAAGCAGCCCAAAAGTTTCTCAAGGCAAAGATACTGGATATCCCTCAGTGGGTAAGTCAGTAAGCAATCTCTATCCAATGGACCATGCTTTTCAGTTTCCTGAAGATAAGACTGAATACAGGCATGGCCAGGCAGAGCATTTCAGTTGAGGAAACACAGCATTTGATGATGTCCATGGGTCCTAGACTGCACTAAAAACAGTCCTTGTATTTAAAATGATGTTAGTTTCTCCAAATAACTTTGAGCCTCTAAAAATGGAGGATTACATATAAAAATGTATTTTATTCCTATACAAGTTTATGAAACAGTTTTCCAACGTGTCTGCACTTCAGTCACACTTGATTTAAAATCCTCTGTGGTGGTGTACAAAGGCAAAAATGCAAATATACAAATATTAGCACATGCTACATGTTTTGCTATTATTAAGTCCATTTTACATTTGCTTTCTCATTTTTTTAAAGGTGGGATTCTACAATGGTGTTGCAGTTCCATGTTACACGACACTTGCTGAGCTTTTTCCTCCATCAGGTCCTCTGCTAAAGGCCTGCAAGTAAGTTATTCAAAGCTAGAGTTGACAAAGAAATTGAGTGAATGAATAATTCTTGGTTTTTTTTGTGAAAAATGTCTAAAACGCCAAAGTCTAAATGTTGCTTTACACATTATTGTCATGCTTATTTCTGCTCTGCTGTGATCGATAAATGAGCTGACAGCAGCTTGAAGGGTAACCAGTAATGCATGCGCCGTCCTTAATACAGTACTAATCCAGTAAGATCAGAGGTGATAAGGTGTGTGTGCACAGGCACACGTTTTTAAGCATTCCAGTGAAAAATACCAAAAAATGGCATGTTCTGCTATTAATGTTTGACCCCACTTTTGTTATGAGTTTTTTTTAAAAAGTATTTGGATTAAATGAAAAATAGATATAGACTACAGTGTGCTAACTTTGTGCGTCACTGTGTGTGGTGTGACATTGTGCACCGGGCATGTCTGCGTGCACAATAGATAAGAGTGTAAAGAAGGTATTTACAGTTGTTATTTCTGGTTTTTGAACGGGATTGTGTTGCACATTCGTCTGCCCTTCTGCTGCTTTATAAAATGTGTCCTTGATCTGTGGGGAATGCAAACAAAGTGAGCAGTGTAATACTTAAGCCCCAGCTGTACGTCACCACCGAGCTCCGGGTGGGCAACAGGCCTAGACCCTGTGGAGCCCTGCTGCGTGTTGTGGGATCTGCCAAAGACGTGTAAACTGCATCAGGCTGTCTAATTGAATAGAATAGCAGCAAAGGGAAGGTTTTGCTTTGTTTTGGTTTTTGCACTCTTGTGTCAATCACAGCACATGGGGGAGAGATCACCTTCATGACAACAAGAACTGATTGTGTTGCCTGGCCACTGTTGTAGCTACTGTTTTGTTTTGCAAATCAACTTCGTCCTTTTTTTGTGTGTGTGTTTTGTAGTTTTGCAATTTTTGCATGATTTGAAAATTTTGTGTACTGGTGTGATTCTTAATTCTCTTATTTCAGACTCAAAGCCATGCCTCTGCACTTGTAAATGAAATCTTTTCCACTGTGCATCTGATCGAGGTGGTTTGTATTTGCAGAGAGAACCTGGGCCAGTGGGAGAAAATAGCAAGGGGAGAGGTGGAGGACATCGTGCCCAGCCGGCCTTGTGATTCGGGCCCTGTTAAGGTGGACAACTGACAGACAAAGGAGGGTTGCTTGCTCACCAAAGGAACACAGCCTGAATCCTGCCGTTGACCCAGACCATTGAAGGGGAATGAACCCGCAGTCTGTGTTGGCAGGAGACGGATTAGATAAAGGCGACTTGACTTTCAAAACACACACACACAGTTACCTCATCGGGTGACGGAGGTGTCAACACTGACGGTTTCACCGATCCCAGAGAGTGACAGACAGTTGTTGGTGAGGGAATTCAATCCATCGCCCTACGTCCACTCAGCTTGGGAATTCACTTGGTAGAACAGACTTGGTTGCTTTATTTTGGCTGTATTATGTTATTTTATTTTATTTTTTTCATATGAGCTGATTCCATTATGGTCTTGTATTTGCAGAGGCCTTATTCTGAACCTTTCACAGGCTAGGATATGTGAAATCTTGTTGTCAGTTCAGGCTTTTTTTTTTCTTTTTTTTTTAAAACGGTACTGTTTGCCTTCTGTGTTTGCCGTATGCGCACTACTTCAGCAAGGTATTCCCAGAGACAGAAGGAATGTGTGGAGCAGATGTAGGGGTGTAATGCCATCTCATTGAGAAGGTGGACACTAGATTTTTTTTTATTACTTTTTCAGCAAAAATCCTTTGCAGTACTTGAATAAAGACATACAGCCTATTCTGCGAGGAGATGGCAGAAATCCCCTGCAGTGTATGCTACAAGCGTGAATGAACTGTGATGAGTTACATAATGCCGACATTTGTGAATACAGTCACAAGAGAGTCACAATGTTTCCTGAAGTGGACCCCGCAGCCTTTTAGCCCCAAGCGTGTAGAAACCTGCTGCACAGTACATCAACATCCTTCGGATTAACAGGATCTGACCCCAGATCAGCAGTCACTGTTTGTAGTACGGAGATCAGGAAAAAGGAATGAGCAAGGTTCCCGTTCCAGATGTTTATATTAAGCCAAGACTGCATACTGCTTAATTTCCTCTCTCATTTTTGAAGCCACTATCACATCATCAATTACTTTGCACAACAAGTTAACTAAAGAATGACTGTAGGAAGTGGACTGCATAGTTTGGGATGTTTTATCTTCTCTTTTTTTTTTATAAGCAAGTTTCATAGAGGCTGAAGTTAACGGCAAACAGTCATCTGCTTCATATTTTCCCATAATGTCAAACCTGTTAAGCTAAAGTGAAATATGTCCAACTCTGGGATTGCAAGTGAAGAATGTAGTTTGACCGTTTGCCGGTGTGTGACTGAAGTTTCCCTCGAAGGAAATCAATCATCCTCTTTTACACTGATTCTCCAACCTCATGCTGGGGGTTGGAGGGGGGGGGGCGCACACACATTTGGACACTTTCACATGAGTTTCCGAGATCTTCCAAAAGACAAATTTATTTGTCTGAAACTGTCATTCCAGTGGACAGTGTCCCTCAGAGACTGACACTATTGCTCCAGTAATTTGTTATGCGACTGATACTGCGGCCCCCGGTGTTGTGAATGTACATTTCGATGAATGTTTCGTTGGTTGTAGACACTCGGTGGTGGCACGTGGGTAAGCGCGCCATCAGTTACCACCATGTGCTCTGTCTTACTTTTCAGAATTGCTTCCAGTAAGCTTCAACCAAGAGCAACAATTAGCATGCACCTAAACCGAACTTTATATTCGAACTTTTTGCATATAGGTGTATACTGTGTACAATCTAGGATTTAGTTTGTACAGACTGAGATGTATGCTCTGATGGTGCTACTCTGAATGGCAGTCGCGCACTTTCTGACTGTGTGTGTGAGTGTGTGTGTGCGCATGTGTGTGTGTATGTGAGAGACACAGAGAGAGAGCACGAGCATGAAAGAAAGCTTTGTCTTTTCCCCACTCCAACCCCACCTGACAACATGATAAAGTCACTGCACTGTCCCTTCTACTTTTCAGCACCAGTTATATCCTATTGTCTGCACTATGTTTAGCTTATCATTATTATTATTATTATTATTATTGCTATTATTACTATTGTTATTTTCTTAATTAGAGTTAAATTTAAATTAACTTATATTTTTTATACAAAGAAAAATAATGTTGGCCTTTTTTTGTTTTGTACAAAGTAAACATTAAGATAAATTAAACAGTCTAGACATGTTACCGTTACCAAGAATAACTGAGGAATGTCTTAACTGTACATGTAAGAGCAGTAGCCCAAATGACTTTTAATAAATACCTGAAAATACACCTTTGTGCCAGTTTATTCATTACCTACATACCTTTCTTTCTTGGGCCGGGTGGGGGGTCTCACTGTTAATGCATCCTGTTTCAATGATCAGTAACAATGCATCACCCCTGAATGGTCAGTAGCAACACCCTACTTTTTAATTGTTCTAAAAAAAAAATGAAAAAAGAAAAGAACACTTTTTATTACTTTTGAGTTATTAGAAATTTCAGGAAATTTGTGAAATAGCCTCTTGTTTGCAGCTATAAATAAACTGAAAAGTAGAGTGTTTATCATTTATAGCATCTATAGCATTTCAGTATCAACACTTTATGGTAACTCTGTAATAATTACTGTATTTAATTCACTCTGTAATATCACTTTTGCCCTTTGAGCTGGTCAAACAAATGTAGTAAAAGAATACGAAAGTCGGCAAAATCTGAATGTCATAAATGTTTCTTTTAAGAAGATGAGTTCCTGAGATCTCCTCTTGGAATTCTGGGAGTGTGTATAGTTGTCTTATTGTCCTTGCACGACAAAGGCTTGCAGCTGACTGAACTAGTTTTGTAATAAAGCCTCATCCGCTGCCGTTATCATTCATGTTAACAATCGAATTTCTACAAGATGGCTGCCCAAAACTACAGATCCATCACTGTGTTAAACAGTTGGCAGCTGGTGCTATGGAGGGAGGGAAAGTTTAAGCACATTTGGATTGATGGAGTAAAAAGACAAAAAGATGACTCACTGTACAATTCTGTCTTACTTTCATATTTTTTCATATAATTATGTAGTATCTTTTTGGCGCCATTGCCTACTGACTATTAAAAAACATTTCTTTACAAATTCTCAGTAAACAATATGAACAATATTTAATCTGACTGCATTCTTCCCACAGAGATGATCAATTTAAATGTACATTTTGACTAAGGGAACTTAAATTACTTAAATTAAGTCATTGCTCAGACTAGAGATGGACTGTGGCATTTCATATGTGAATAGTCATTAAATAAACCTCTAATGATAACATTTTACATGTTGAGGTAGTGGACAAAATAAGAATGCAAATGAATGCAAAACGTTGTTGCAACACAACCATATTAATGTACAATAAAATACATTACAGTTTTTTATTCATGTTCAATTTTGCCATCTGTGTATTCTGGTGACTTGAACCCTGAGTCCATGTTTCACTGTTTTTCTCCTACTCCCTCAGGGCCCTGTGTTTAATGCACATAATAACCCACTTATTACAAAGAACCAGGTGAAGATGAAGTGAAGAGTTTGAATAAAGTTTTTACAAGTAACAACATTTCCCCATTTCACAAAGACTTGTATTAATTTCTCGTTCTGTGCAGGAACATATGTAGTATTTATTGAAGAGCACTGGAGTTCTTATCAAATAATGAAACGATTTTTTTATAGATGTAAATGTTTTTAATAGTTCCCTTCTTTGAATATAAGTAAGCGGATCCCATAATTGCGTTAATGTTTAGATATCTATGAACACAAACTTACTTAACGCATAGAGTACTCTACAATCTCACTCCAGCTGTTTTCTTCGTCAGGTCCAGGTGAGGACTAGCGCCTGAAAGCTCACGGGTACGATTATTATCGGGACACTGAACGCAGCACAAACATTACGCACTTCGATCACCTTGGCAACCGAGTGAAGCACAGACTGCTGCGGCCATGAAGAAAGTTTGTTTTCTGTCCTGAGCCTGTCCAAATTACAGTTAGCTAACAGGTGAGGTCATTAATGAGAGTTTATTTCATTCTGTTATCCTGCAGCACGATCTTTAGTAAATAAATTAATCACGTGAATATGAGGCACTAGTAGTTTTGCTATAAGCGTAAACTCTCTTTGAATTATTTGTGCAGTGTCTGGATTTACCATAAAATTTAAGTCATTTTGATTTCGTTTGAGAGAAAATTCCTTTTTAGGGTGCATTTCTATTCACCAGAAAGAATAACGAATGTTTTTAATATTTTAAGAAATTGTACACCTCTTGAGATAATTAGATATTATTACTCGTATGTCTTTAAAACAACTATACAACAATAAGTTGGCCTTCACAGCCATGTCCAGCAGTGTGAAGCCAATGCCTGGGCGCTATGGGAGTGATATCCACAGACTGCTGCTGGCGGCTGAAGCCGGGCAGAAGGCTGATATCCTGGCCTACTCCTCGGGTCATCTGGGGCCTCGCAGACTGAACCAGAGTCAGTCTCAAGAGGAGACAACGTCGGTTTTTTGGAGGATGTCTCAGAGCCAAGAAGAAAGTCGAAACCCACTATCTCTCCAGCAGATACAGACAAAGGCAAAAAAGAATGAAATGAAAGAGTTCCCCCCTGAGCTCACTTCTGGCACAGCTTTAGTAGAGCCTAGAGTCTTGGGGTGCACACAAGATCATACATCACATCCAGAAAGAAGAGAACATATAAGTCTATCTCAGATAGTTTACCGTCCCTCAAGGACTTTGCCTGTCCAGCAGAAAGCTTGTTCTCAGAAAAAAACTAAATCTCCATCTGATCTGGGGGTAAATCATCATTTCACATTGAGCCATTCTGACCAGGACAGCCTGAACAACCAAAACCAGCAAGAGAAGAAAAAATGCTTTGGCTGGCAAGTCATGGCCAAACCGGACCTCTGGGCTGTAAAAAATGTTGCTGAAATGCATGCAAGGAAACTGCAAGAGGTGAGGATTGTGACACAAACCATGACATCAATAAAGTGTCTGTAATTGCTTTTTTCTTTCTTTTTTTGCATTTTGCATGATATAGTAAACCTAAAGTGCTCTCTGAACACAGGGTAAAGACATGCACAGACTTCAACATGCATACACTCTAACACACTTTTAACCTGCTAATATTGTGTGTGTGGTCTTGTGCGCAGGGGTTGATTAAGTTGTCTGCGCAGAGCTGGCCCAGCAGAGACCGCCTTGCGGTGTTCAGTGACGTCTTTGATGATGTATGTGAAGACTCGCCAGTGTTTGGACGCATCCTGAGGGAAATTAAGGTTTTTCCATTTCCTCTGTACCCACCAGCTCATTTTTAGCATGTACCGACAGATGTATTAGAGCCAAGAGAGAGTGAGTCCCTGGAGTAGCAAGTACAAGTAGAGCAGCCACCGGAACCTGGTCGCGATGCATCAGAGAGGAGGTCATCAGAGGGCGATGGTTCCATTACTGCTCATTCATAACGAATGCCTCAAGTTTCTTTTGCACATGATAGTTTTGCTTAGACTGTCAGTAAAAAGACTTCCCATGCTGCAGTTTGCAAAGTGCACAATTTTACTTTTCATGCAGCTGAAATCCTTTTTTTGTTATTATTAAACATGGTAGTAAGCTGCAGTGCATACAATTTCTAAAATCTTTTTCTGAAGGATTTTCTACAAGGACATTTTTTTAAATCAACATAATTCTCAGTCTGTAATAAAGCTTTCTTTTCTCTTCCAGACAGAATATGATTTATACGTCAACCACCTGATGAGTTTGCAGTCCTCACCACGCAGCCTGGTAAGGAACACTGCGGAAAAGACACACATACTGAAGATATAACCTGAGAAATGACTGTGATATTCAGACATTTTTGTGTCAAAGACATTCATTCATAATGTTCCTATACAATATATTCTCATGCTCATTTTGCCTTTAAAGAATGGAAATTGTTTTACATAAAAAAGGAAAACAACAGTGCTGATATTCGTAGGTTTCCTCACAGTACAAAGAGTCAAAGATGCCGCTTGTCACAGAGTTCGTTATTTGATTTTGTGGGTATTTTCAGTCCCTTGTCTACAGTTAATGTTTCTTTTAAAAAAAAAAGCCTACACGTATTTCTAAACAAGGTTTAAATAGTAAATATTTAAACTTCCCACAGAGAAGGATAAAACCTTTAGTTCTTCAGCAGTAGCCAAGCTACTAGCAGCATTAATCTCAAGCATCTTTTGCTTTTTTGGAAAATAATTTAGGTCCTAATGTTTTGTTCTTGCTTCAGTCACCGAATACTTCACTCAAAGTAAGCGAAACCAAGTTGGACGATGCTGAAAAGGAGGTTTGCAGGCTGGAGCATGAGGCTAGAAGAGCTCTAGAGGAGAAGAAACGGTACCACAAAACAAAAGTATCAACAGCAGGCTTGTACTTATGTACATTCTCTTTAGTTGAAGTGTGTTTGTCCTTTCAAACCTCAGGGTCCAAAATGAGTTACAGAACATTTCAGCTGCCATGCACTCAAAGGACAGTTACAAGAAAAGTAAGTCATCAGACTACCTTAACATATTTTTTGTACCTTATTGTTAGTAAACAGTTAATTTTCTATACAGCATGCTAAGTTTTAGATATATCTGCGGTCTTTAAGAGTGAACAAATAATCACTTTTTGGTGCCAACAGTAAATGGCCTGTATTTATATAGCGCTTTACTAGTCCCTAAGGACCCCAAAGCTCTTTACATATCCAGTCATCCACCCATACATTCACACACTGGTGATTGTACATTGTAGCCACAGCCACCCTGGGGTGCACTGACAGAGGCGAGGCTGCCGGACACTGGCGCCACCGGGCCCTCTGACCACCACCAGTAGGCAACGGGTGAAGTATCTTGCCCAAGGACACAACCACTGAGACTGTCCAAGCCGGGGCTCGAACCGGCAACCTTCCGATTACAAGGCGAACTCCCAACTCTTGAGCCACGATCGCCCCAGTCATAACAAACAACGTTGTAGTGTCAGTGGTCACTTTCTAATCCCAGCAGGGATGTCTTCATATGCAGTTATGATCACTATCGTTATGAATGTCATAGTAATTCAGACCTTTTAATGAATGAAGCTTTTAGACCATCATTTTAATTAGGTTGAGGTCAGCGTTTTGGGAATGCCGTTCCAGAATGTTTTAATGTTAACCTGCTTTATCCACTCCAAAACCAGTTTTTATGTGTCTTTGAGATCATTGTGCTGTTGGAACACCCAGTTGTCTCCAAGTTTCAGTCATCTAGCTGTTGATTTGAGGTGAAGTTGAAGAATTTGGATTCCTTCCACTTTGTTTAATGTGTCAGTACCCCTGGCAGTAAATCAGCCCCAGAGCCAGATCCTACCGCCACCATGCTTGGCAGCTGATACGTGTTTTTAGCTTTGAAAGCCTCCTTTACTCCTCCGAACATACCTCTTGTCACCATGGCCAAATAGCTCAATCTTTGCCTTCTCTGACCATAAAACTTTTCTCCAGAAGATTTTTGACTTGTTCATGTAGACCGCTGCACCCTAACCCTAAGCCTGAAGAACTTCATTTTGGTGCAAAGGCTTCTTTCTTGTTGAGCACCCTCTTAGTCAATAGTAATGACGCTATTCCAGCATTTCCCAGCGTGTGACAAGCTTTAGTCTTGGCAGTTGTTTGGTTGTCTCTGAACATCCTAATTTCTTCCCATCTGAGGGTGACAGTTTGGCTCTTCTTCCAGACCTTGACAACGTGGTGCCACATCTGCATTACTTGTGCTTTTTCTCATTGTTCTCAGTGTTGGTCAATCCATTGACTACTGTCAAAGGATTTTTTTTATGCTGGCAAAGAGAAATTACCAGTTGTAGTCAATCATCACTAGCAAGAAGTTAATGGACCATGTCAAGTTAAAAGACATTGTAGAACTTTTAGCACCACATATTAAAAGATTTAAGTGAATGTTTGTATATTTTTGAGTCTGTATGTGTGCTTTTGACCCTGTGTAGATTAGAGAAAATCCAAACTTCTGCACCAAATTCTTGTTTTTTTAAGTCATTAAAGATGTATGCTTTACAATCACGCCACCCTGGTGGAATTGTAAAGCATCTTCCATCTGTAAACAACAATTCAAAGAAATTAAGTCCAAAGTTACCATGGCATTCATGCCCATGATGAGTACGCATCAATTTTGATCAGTTCTCTATGCATTGCATTCATGTTCACCTCATCTGTGTTTGAACAGATACATGTCGGTCAGGGCTGCAGGATACTATGAGTGTCTCTGGCTATTCTGACAGCATCCAGTTCAAGAGGCTTCAAGTAATGAATGTTTGGAAGGAAATCAAACAGCTGGAGGAAGAGCTAGAAGAGAAGTTGGTGTCCACAGTTACAACCACAGCTACTAAAGGACATATCAGAGACCAACAGGTGCTACATTTGGCCTCATTTCACACTGGCTTATGAAGGCATAGCTCAACTTGTAAATCACACTGAGCAAAGTTAAGAGTTTAGCAAGAAATGTGCTTTTTGCCTGTTTGTTTCCAGACTGAAATATTGAAGCTGATAGCCTCAAATGAGCATCTAAGGGTCATTAGCAAGGTATGAGAGGGGGGTCTTTTTTAGCACGTTTTTTGTTTGTTTGTTTATATTTTTAATTGCAGGTATTAGATATTTCAAATGTATGTTTACTATGTGAGAGTCAGATGTGCTGTCTTTTAAGGATCTTGAAAACAACATCAGCGCAGTGCTGAACAAGGAGAAAGCAAGCAAGGCCATAAGACGGTATGTGGAACAGTGTATATGTGGCACTTGATTAGTTTGTGACCATTTTTACTTACTTCTTCTTGCTATGCTGTGTTTTACCACAGGATTTTGTGGGATGAAATACACCAAGATCTACAAGCAGAGTGAATGGCATCACCAGTCGCCATAAGGCGGTGGCAGAAGTGTTTGTGTGCATGAACTTGTTAAAAAAATCATCTGGTCGCCCCAGTTTCAAGTATGGAAAATCATACTTGAAACAAATCTTTCGTGTGTTATTGAATAGACCTATAATACATTCACTGTGCTGTGTGACAAAATTAAGTGAACTCTCAGATTTGGTTAATAGTTGAACCTCGTTTTTGGCAGTAACCTTCACCTTGTGGTCATTTCATTCTACCTGTATTCTGTTAAGGCCTGAGCTCTGACTCAAGCAAAATGCAGATGATTTTTTTTTGTTCTTTAACAGACTTAGTTCAACTACACTCATCCTCATCATGCACCTTGCTGTCGATATAGCTGACTCATAATCAGAGATGTTAATCAGTTCACATCTGGGAACTGTCGACAACAAAACAGTGCAGCGTTATTAGTTAGAAAATATTTGTTCCCAGCTGTAGCGTGCTGCAAATGCTACTGTGGGTAAACAAACTACTAGTATCGGAAAGCAAACAATGACACCATTTTAAAATGCTTCACTCCAATCCTGCATCCTAAGAAAAAGTACAAAAATATTAACACAGTGATATTTAAAATCCTCCTTATGAGTATTGTTTTGTTATATTTACTGATGCTTTAGTCTAGCAGTAATTTTTAAAGCTTAAGTGTTAAATAAGATACAATAACATAACACGTATACTGTATATATAATGCTATGTGAGTGTATAAGAGTTAGTCATGCGTTGCATAAATAAACTAGCAGTGTAGCATCCATCTAAAATATAAACATAAAGTAATGGAATAACTGGGAGCAACCTACTCTTCAAACACTAGAGGGCAGCAGAGACTTTTGAGAAAATTGTGTCAGCAGGAAATGAAGAAGCCTGCACTAAAGCAAAATTCCCATATTGCTTTTACTGTGTAACTGAAAAGATTTGCTTAGTATTCTTCACATAGTGATGTTCCAGCTGAGCCGCGGAACTTTTTTACTCTTGAAATCATAACATAACATAAACGTTCATGCTGTTATGCTTCCACTCTCTTATGTCACATTAAGAGTAGTTTGCCTCTGTTCTTATTCAGGGCTGAAGTGTCTGTGTGTAACCTTTATCAAAAACAGTGAAGATAGTCTAGGGGTTTGTAATGTCTTGAGAAATGTCAGCATGGATAGGATTTCTATTTAATGCTGTATTTCCTTTAACGGGGTATTAAATATGTTGCGTTAACGGGAATCCTAAAGAGATTTTCCTCTAGGTTCAAGTTCCACGCGGCTTAACAAAAAAGAAAAAGAAATCCAATTATAACTGTGTGCAGAAAGCCTTGATGACAGTACTCATTTGATAAATAATCACAGAGAATTAGTGTAATCATTGAAGCTTTTCTTTGGATTGATAGAGGGTGACCTTTGCCCCTGACATGAGGGAATGCTTTGCTGTCTGCCGGAATCTAATCAGAGGTCAAAGTCTTCGCTCTGGATGACAGAGTCAGTCGGGGCAAAGTGTGTTTTTGTCCCTCACAGTCTAAGCTCTTCCCATCCTGTTACTGACGGCTCACTTCTGCTTGGATTGTTGCCACTTCGACACCATGCTGCTTCGGACTGTTGTCCTGCTCCTCCTCTGCCTGTCCACAGGGACGTGTGCCACTTTAGGCTACTACCAGACTGACTCAAAGGAGGACGGAGGCCCTGCTGCTGATTCAGTTGTTGCTGCCGAAGATGCCTCTGTTGACGTAGCCAAAGAAGGTGTCACTGCTGTTGAAGTAGGTGATTCATCTTCAGCTGAGGCAAACGCAGGTAACAGCGTTTTTGGTGACAAACCGCTGCGTGAAATAGGTGTGAAGGGTAGCCAATCAGGTGACAAACATGAAGAAGATGTCCAGGTGGTAGCAGAAGGTGCTACAGTCAAAGAATCAGTGCCAGGCAGTGATGGGCCTCCTGGAGACAGCCCTGCTCTGAAAGCTTTTACTAAAGAAGCTAAGAGCCTGGAACAACCTTCTTCTGGGGAAGAGGCGAATGAGATCAGACCAGTTCAGACAAACAAGTCCCAGAAAACACCACAGGAACAAGAAGACAGCAGCTGGGGCCTCAACTCTATTAGAAATAGTTTCCAGACTGCGCACGGATACTTCGACTCCCTGGTGGAACTGGTCGGTGGACACAATGGTGTTTGTGAGTACCGCTGCAGAAGATATGGTAAGAATCCATCTTAAAACTCTCTGTTCAAGTTCACCGGTCTTTAAGGGATTTTGAGAAGAGTTTTTACACATTGTTGTTTTTACCTTCCCCCCCAAAAAAATGTTTCTGACCCTCAGCAGATTTTCAAATGATTACTGTGTTTTCCACTTCCAATATGCTTCCTTAACTAGATTCCACTGCTATCAGAGCTAAAGTACTTCTTTATTGATCCAAGATAACATGCCTGGGCCTCAGGCTTCTTATACCGAAACCTGAATGCATCTGTTTATCAGTGGGAGTTTAGCTTTCCCTCGTCTCAATCATCCATATACATGTTCTCAAACAGAAGGTATATCTTATCTGTGAAATGATACACACCTGAGGATGAACAGGAGCAACTCATGAAATTTGTTTGCTAACGCAGTCAAGTTCAAGACCTAAATGAAGCTTCCATGTTTTCTCAGGAGAACTTCCTCAACCTCGTCCTGGCTTCCGGCTCTCAGAGCCCAACGGCTGCAGCACCTCTCTGGTGGGATTCCAGGTGAATGCTGCTGTAGGTTGCCTGTTCATAGCACCAACAGCTTTCAAAGCAATATCATTAACAACCTTAATGGCTGTAAAAGCCACATGTTCGGTTTGAGCAGACTGTGCTGACACAATCTATCTCTGACAGCTTGACCTGGGGATCCCTGCTATGACAAAGTGCTGCAACCAGCTTGACATGTGCTACGAAAACTGCGGTACGAGCAAGTACGACTGTGACTCCAGGTTTCGCTCGTGCCTGCATGGCATCTGCTCTGACCTTAAGAAGAGTCTGGGGTTTGTTTCGAAAGTGCAAGGTGAGATAATTAACTTTCCCCTCTTCCTGCCTGTGCATAGCCACAAGTTGTCAAAGAAGAAAAAAATAAATTAATCAGCGTCCCTCCTCTCTCATATTTTTTTTCTCCTAGCCTGTGAATCGATGGCAGACGCTCTCTACAACACAGTTTGGACTCTTGGTTGCAGACCTTACATGAACAGCCAGAGGGCAGCGTGTGTCTGCGAGGGAGAGGAGAGGGATGAACTGTGACACAGAACACTATGGACATCATCTGTGTGCTTTTGAAGACAACTAACAGAGTCATATTTTCACACGCATAGCGTGCATTTATAGGCTTCTTTTTTTTTTCCTTCATAGACGAGATGCCTCACAAGAGCCCTCTCAAGATTCAGAGGCCAGAGATTGAAAAAGACATAAAAGAGGAATTTAAGTGAACAATTTCTTTGGATTTATTCACAATTGTTCGTGCATATTCACTCGCCATGCTCCTCATTTTAGGCCAATTGACTCTATGACTCCATTACCATAAATTACTTGATGACTCCAAACAAAGTGTGTGACGGGAAGATAGAAAGGATACTGTCACCGGATTAATTTCCTCTAGACAGAAAGACACCAGATAATTACTGTGGTGCTCAAGGCTCCTTGTGTGCTGCTATCTTAAATTTGTCAAGCTGCTCAAACCTTAAGTCAGTGTCATGTAAATCTAATGCCTACTATGTTAATGCTTGATGTAAGTTATTTGCCAGTTATTTGTTATGTTTATGAATACATTAAAGACTAATTGCAGCTAAACTGACACGATTAACTCCAGATTAATTGTCGGAGTGATGAAGCTTATGCATAATTTCCAGACGCGGGGTTCTGATATTTCTTTCCCAGCACACTGTAATGTGTGGCGTGCTCCTCATCGATTACACCAAATGAGTCAGAACGCATCTTATAGATGTTTTAGATGGGGTGGGGGTTTTTTTAAGTTGGAGATGGGGTGAGAAATAAACCACTTCCATAAATCCACTAAGTCTCTAAGCTGTAATCAAGCCTGGGAAATGCCTGAAAGTGTGACCCAGAAAATCATCTCTCATGTTGTAGCTGTTATGAGTGATGTGTGGCGCCTTTCTCGCTTTTTAATCGAAATGTCATTCACTTTAAGGTCAGTATAATGTGCTGCAAGTCCAACAGACGCAAACTTGTTATGATGTGTTAATGAGAATAAAAGTTATCTCCAACAATATAAATAACAGCAGAAGGAGGATATACTGTATGCACATATATACAGTGCGCTTGGCTTCTTTGTGTCTATGTCTACATTTATTTACTCTCCGGATTACCAGATCAACTGAACTGGACGATTCCTTTTTAAAGGGGTTCCATCATGCTTATGTCCATCTCTATATTTTTATTTTTGGACTCTACTAAAGCTGCTCAAAATTATCCTTATTCATCTTACAACTGGCCATGGTGCCAATTGTCAGTTCAAGCTGTTTTAACTCCTCTTTCTTTAAACCATCTTTTTTCTGCTTGGCTTCTTCTCAAAAAAAAAAAAAGGTGGGTGTAGAAGGTGGGTGAGGTTTTCTTATAGCCAGAGCTGGGTATCCCTTTCTTTGACATCTTACAAATTACAAGAGTACAAAACAAGTCTGAAACTGAATGTTCAGCACAGTCTAAGATCTGAGCTTTTGGCTCATAAGGATTACGTGCACAAACACTGACACGCTGACTTTATTATCTCAAACTCTACGCATGTTTAATCTGGGAAAGCGCCACTCAAATAGTGTACGAATGACAGAAAGTGAGAAAAACCATAAAGTGTTCACTTCAGTTTAAATGCAACTGTGCTGATTGTTTAATTTCATGGCTTTTTTGTTGATGTTTGTGTTGATAGCATTGTATAATTGCCATGATTAAGGCAGGATAAGGATGGGTCCTGCGCTCAATGCGTGCTGCTCCTGAGGTTCATCCGTCTGAACCTCCCGTCGGACGCGTCCCCGACAGCGCTGAGCACAGCGGGAGTCTCCTGCCCGGCACACTAGCACCTGGCAGTGCAGGAACACTTGCTGTAAACAGAGGAAGCAAGCTTGTTTTGATATTTTGAGACTGCCTTCACAGTGTAAAGGATTCTGCTAATTCACATGGTCTATTAATACAGTCTTTGCAGTATAGAGCTATGCAGGCATAAGCCCACACACATTCGCCAGCTGGCTCCCAGCATGCTCCTTTTACTCACTCGGTTGTCCTTGCCAATGAACTTGAAGACGGGGACCTGGTAGTGCTTAGAGAGCTGGTCCTTTGACGAGTACTGTGTCATTGTTTCATCAGCAATACATCTGCGTAGGAAGCCAAAGAGAGAAACTAGAGTCACACATGCATCTTAATGCAGTAAAAAGAGATCCATAAATGTTTCTAACAAGGCACTTCATTAGGAGATTAGATGCTTCAAGGTCCTGAAAGCCTGCCGCATTTGTTGGCAAACATGAATATAGATTTAGTGATGACCTATTGTGTCTGCAGAGGAAAACTCTGCATTCACTGGAAAAAAGCATGTTTCATACATTTTAAAAATTTTGTTTCCATTTTTCTACCCAAAACTATGTGTTGTATTTTTTCTGAACTAGTCAGAGTACAAGACAGAGTGACATTTTTCAGCTGAAAGAGGGATTTCCGGTTTGATAACTGTTGAGCACCTGATGCCAAGAAGACCTTTATAAGACACAGCAGTGGGATCTCATACTGATGACATTTACTACAATAACTGGAACTCAATGCACTTCTATTGTTAGCAAGGCAGAAACGTCTTTTCCCTCTCTCTCTCTCTCTCTCTCTCTCTCTCTCTCTCTCTCTGTGTGTGTGTGTGTGTGTGTGTGTGTGTGTGTGTGTGTGTGTGTGTGTGTGTGTG